AATCAGGGAAGTTATTTTTAGCTTGATGATTACTACAAAAAGGAAAATATTATTCAGAGAAAAAATAGTTAAATAAGGATTAATTTACATATTAAAGGATTATTTCTATTTTTCGTTTATTGAAAACAAGTCCTTCTAATATAGGTACAATAAAACTCACAGGACCGAGCCCTTTCATTCGTTACAAAGAGTTTTCGTTACTTTCGAATTGTTATTGCCCTAATGTATGGCGTATTGTTTCTTTGTAGATACGCTAGGTCTTGGTGAAAGATCGATATATAGTTTCCGGAATCTATCCGAGGTTTGACCAATGCGTTTTGGTAAATCCCGAAATAGCTACTGAATTTTTCTTTTGTCTGATTGAAAATTTGAAAAAGAAACTCATCCATCACAACGTAATCCAATCTCATATAGGCATAGGATTAGACAAAAATCGTTAAGCAAGGGACGAAACACATAATCACTTTGGACTTTCAACTAATAAATTTCCTTATCAGACCTGAGGATTGACTAGCTAAAACTAGGAGCGACTTCAATCTTTGACTATAACACATCCATAAAAGTTGGGTGCTTATCGTTAGTACAATCTCATATTGTTTTGACTTTTAACCCCTTTCGGCTTTGATTCCACACTGAGTGTAAACAGGAAAAGAATGAATATTTTTATACGAATACATAAAAATGATGCTTAGTAATTTGTATGCATGTATCATGTATGTACATCATCGTATTTTATTCAATGGAAATACTGATTAATATTGTTCACCTGAGATAGATACCTAAAGGCAGTACTTATTTTAAGTGAAAATTTGAACAAGTGCCTCCTCCTTAGGACAGCTTGGTTTGATATGGTTTAATCATCATCGTAAAGTCGTCAGTCCTAGCACTGATTGGACACGCACCTCCACTCTTTTCTATCCTGAGCTAATCTTCGCATTTCCCTAAAACTAGAACAACCCACATCCCTAACTATTTACGAACAGTAATCCAATCTAGGCCTACCTTTACCCCTCCTAACTCCCATTTTTGCCTCTAATATACCTCTGACTAGACCTTCATGCCTGAGAAGGTGTCCTAACAACCTATCTCGCCTATTTCTTATTGACTTCCATAGAGTCCTCTGTTCTCCTATTCTTTCTAATACTTCTTCATTTCTAACCTACTCTATCCGCGGTATCATCATTATTCGCCTGTAACACCATATTTCGAACACTTTTAACCTTTTCTTTTCCATAGCGCCCACCGTCCATGTATCGCACACATATAGCGCCGCGCTCCAAACATACACCTTTAACAACCTTTTTCGAATTTCTAAACTAAATTTTGAAGATATGGTTTATTAAAAGAAAAGAATTTATTTTAATTTAAATTTAAATTGTCATTTTTCTTGTCTACTCTTCTTACAAAAATAAGCTATTTTTTATTAAAACTGATATTTATTTTACATAGTGATAACATTGTTTAATTTTCAGTACTATTTCAATTTTTTTTAAATTTCATAAAGTAATCGTACGAAAACACTTCACATAACATCCCTAAACTCCCCTTAATGACAGGGTAGTCTAGAGAAGTCAGAAAACAACGTGTAAACAATATAAACAACGTGAAGTATTACGTTAAATATAAAAGAGAGAACCACTGACCCCAATGAACTTTCCGATTGCTTAAACATGACATATTTTACGTGACTTGACATCTTTAAAAATAAACTGTTTTGTGGACGAAAATATATATATCTGTAGACACATGAACAATAACTTTTTTTTCGATTGAATATTGTATTTAGAAACAGAGACGTGCAAGAAAACATACTTGTATTACTAAGTATTTCGAATACAGTATATTTGAATATTTTCTTGCCATTTAATATTTACATTTAAATACTTACATGAAGGTATTTTATTTGAGATACTGAAGCGATATTCAAATACTAAGATGGTGCACTTACATTTTTGTTATGGTCATGATAGAATATAATTCGTTCAGTTCATCTGTGATATTTTAAAAAGTTGCTAATATTTTGAAGAATCCAAAAAAAAGAGCAAGCTAGCCAGAAGGGCTACAGCTCCCTCTCACCGAAAATAAGATTTATTTAAATGAGTAACATTTTCTAAGAATGTTCAGATAAGGTTCTATTTGCCCTGAATTTATTCTAATTCACATAATGAATTTATTTGTTAAATAAAATATATGATCAGTAAAAGTTGATGATTAATAATATAATATATCGAAACATGAAGGTAGAGATCACTATTTCGATCTTATTAGATCTCATCAGCACGCCATATGGAGTTGAGATAAATCACCTATCAAATCGAAGAAGCTATTTAAAAGCAAATTGACCTAGTTATATCATCATCTACTGCTATCTGCTTCTAAATGAAGAGTATTTTTATTATTCAATTGGACAGGTACACCTTAGTAATGTCATATCTAACATATGAAATACTGCAGATAACAAGAGATGTCGATATACAGCCATAATTATGGATCGCAATTTGAACGTAGTTTTGATAACTCACCGACCAAATCTATACTGCTATGTATATTGTACAATCAAGTATTTATTCTAATTCAAATTGAAATTTCTAATCTTTTTAGGCGGATAGACAAGACACATTTTTTTAATATCAAAAAAAGTATATGATACCTACATAAAAGTTATTATCAGTGAAGGAAACCACGCAGTGATATTTCAGCTTAAAAAAGGTTAATCTGTAATCAAACAAGTTTGGAAATTAGTGTTTAAATAATAATAATTTATTTGCAATAATAATGCGTACTAGATGTATTGCATAACTGTATCAATGTAACAATGTTTACATAGATAACATAGTGTATATATACTAAATTAATGTAAAAACGAATAATTGGAAAACGAAAATTCAGCAAATTTGTAATTCAGCTCTTAAATTATGAAGAGCGGTAATAACAATTGAAAAAGTTTAACTTATTTTACATATTTTCGGGAACGATTTCAGATTTCAAAAATAAAATTGATTTCCAAGTTAAATATGTAAAATATTTTATTGGCAACAATCATCACTTCACTACAATAGCTAACAGTAGCTTCTTCAGGTGGAAGAAATACTGACAATAAGTGGTTAATAAAATATTTTGTAACTTATTTGACTTTTAAAATTGGGTTGCAGGGGTTCAGTGCTTCAGATGTTATTGGCCTGATTTTAAATACTTATATAAACCTAAGAAGGCATTAATTTTGATTTTAAAACTATGTACATGAAATGGAAAAGATACCGAACGTTATTTAAACGACACAAGAAAAATACGATTATGAATCGCATATTTTTTAGAAAACTCAACACCTTTCACTGTAATAAAATCATTTAAACGTGATGATCAATGTCATTTATAAGTATTTTTACTGTTTAATTTTCTTAAGTGTTATCTAAATAGGTAATTTACTATTTTTTTTAAATATTAAGGTATATTGCTGTAGCGAATTTACCTATCAAGAAAAAGTTATCTTGAGATACTTTCGCCGTTTTCTTAATAGGGTCACATTTACGAACAATCTCTACAGTTGCCAGTCATATCAAATTAAATGTATGTATGTATCTATCTATAATATAAAATATGCGATAAGTTGTAGATACTACCTTTAATTTTATTCTGTGTGGCAAATTAACAATACAGCGGCATAAGTTTAAAATTTAAACACAATAAAAACTACAATTATTAAATAGAACGAAAAAAGCTAAGGATGTAAATCGACGTGAAATAGTGTGTGAAAAACCTCCAACTAAAGTGGTAAAATACATTTATATAATTTGGGTGGATATGTTTTATTTATTATTAATATTATTAGTACCAATTGCTTAATAATATGTATTCAAGTATTCTCTTTAATTTATATATTTTAGAAGTTCCCAAGTTCATCAGTTATAACTGTTTAGAATTCGTTGTCAAATTGAAGTTATTAAACAGTCCTCGTAATTAATTCTTCGTTGATATTTTCATTAAAAATTGATTAACATACGCGATAACGACGTGTTATCATAAAATTGACAGCAACAAGTATACAAATTGTGTTATTCCTGTGTAAACATAAAAAAATCAACGTACTTGCAAAACAAGTAGTTCTGCTGCTGGAAGCGTTTGTTTTGTACCTCGAGAGAAGTTGGTCCTGCCATAAGGACTCATGCCTAGGGTTGCCACTTTTTCAGACTTTACATAAAGTATTTCTCGACTAAAAGGTTAAAAAAAAGTACTCAGCATAAAAATAAAGTATTTTATTTTTTGTTTTTAAAAACATATTTTTTGTTACACCTAGCAGCCAGTAACAAATTGCTGTNTATATATATAAAGTTTTTGCACTTGCATTGTAAATAAAACTGAATCACATGAGTTGCCATAGATATGGATTCCGTAATCAGAATAATAAATCTGTGGAATTGCTCTTGAAGTACCAGATAATAGCAGATAAAGCTTCCAAATCCTGGGACCGTGAAGGTATTGTGGACTTTGGTATCAAATTTCAAGTCCAGGTGCTAGTCCCGAAAATGCCTCCCAAATTGAAATAATGTTTCTTTACAGAAGAAAAAATATATAATAATAATAAATAAGTAAACTAAAAATTTGATGGAAACCAAATATTTTTGTTCAAATTTTAGCACAAACTAAAGAGAAAGGGTCATTATTCAATTGTAAAAGACTTAATACCGGCAAATCCACTAATTCTATTCTATTAAAGAATTTAGAAGCATTGACACTTAAATTTTGGGCCCTTTATGATTTTCGGACTATTTCTGGAACGAGGACCACATATTTGTTGTAAAATCCCGGAGCCAGATACCGAAACCCTAATAATTATCATCATCACATATTTATACGAGGCGTGACAAAATTTATTCATTATAATCTTACAAACATATCCACTAATTTGAAAAATAAGAATTACACATGCATATCCACAAAAATTGCAAATTACAAATATTCTCTTTTTCTCCTGGTATTAATCTTTTTCCTTTTTTTTTCAGTTCCAAAGATGAAGACGTCGATGGCAATTGTATAGTGAGAGCAAGGGGTCTTCCATGGCAGAGCAGTGACCATGATATAGCGAAATTTTTTCGCGGACTGAATGTAGCAAAGTAAGTAATCGATTTTTGCATCATAAAAGTATTTGTGGTTAATAGATTCATTATTCGATATCCAATCAAACTATAATTCTTATAATTTGATGAAGGGCATTATAAGACCTGATTATTTAATAATATTGTATTATATATATATAGAATTATTGCATACTTAGGTGAATGATCTACTCATTCTTTCTAATTCGTTGTTAAGTCGTGAAAGACATTTAAATTTATATTTTTTTTACAAGAAAATCAAAAGTTCTGTTGAACTTTTCGATACCCAAGGAGTCATTTTTAGTGAGACTGTTAGCATCTCTAACTGAGGATGCTACTACGTAAACTCTTAATTTTTCCTGTTCAGGTCGGTGTACTTTAGATTAGAAACGTAAAATTATCGATTTCCTGATGATTGACCCTATCCATAGAATATGCAAATACCCTTATATTTATACACACATAAGAGTATATTATACCTATATAAGAAGTTCATCCGTACCAGTGGACGTCATGCATGAAGAAGGGTACACCTCAAAGTCAGAAGGTCATTGTCATGTTCGCATAAGACCATTTTGCATAACATGTTTACATAATAAGTTGTCCCCAAAATAGAAAAGTTGACGGTTATGTTATAACATAACTACATCGTCTTTCAGTATAACCCACTTGAATGTCCATCGAAATAATTGCGGTCTTCTTAATGGTAGGCAGTTTGCTTACAGTACCGTACAGAAGTAGAAATTAACAGGAAAAAATACAGAATACATAAGTACGTATAATACATACTTAACACAGTACCTAATGCTAGTGATGAGATTTTAACAACTCCTTGCACATAGATGATAATGAAGCGGCAAGAATGTTTTGTCTATACATTTCGCATTATCGTTTATTTCATTTTGGTTACATTGTTGTTTTGTATTGGAATTTTCAAAAAGTAGTTAGGTTTAGCTAATAGCATTTGGTAAGATCTCAGTTAATGGAAGTCAATTTTAATCCAAAAATGATGATGAAAACCACAAATATGTAATCTCGCATCACTCAACGTGCCTGGAGTTCCATGGCAATATTAGTAGGAAAACTAAAGAATATTTCAGGTAGGATATCTATTTCGTCCCTTTTTTACCATCCCTTTATTATGAAGTATAATTAATTTAGTAATTACGTCCTTAGAGAGAAAATGCGAAAAACTCTCAATTTGAACAAAATAATAGATATCCCTTCATCATTAAATAAAAACGTCGCATAATTTTGCGTTAAGCAAAATGTCTTGGAACAGGATTGACACGTCAAAACGATGTGTTTTAAAGCACATATTGTGGCTACCAGGGCCCACCCGTAGCATCCTTTTATCCCGTGTCTAAAGTTGTGGAATATCATCAAAATGACACTTGATTAAATTGATGCACATATATATGTGGGTGTATTAAAACTGGGTGTATCTTTTACCAGAGGTACCCCTAAAACACCTCTATCCCTAATTTTATCTACATCACAAATACTGACAATTATCATCATAAGGTCGTCAGTCCTAAGACTGGTTGGACACGTATCTACACTCTTTCCTATCCTGAGCTAAAGTTCGCTTTTCCCTAAAACTAAACTTTTTTTTATTGACTTCCGTAGAGTCCTCTGTTCTCCTATTCTTTCTAATACCTCTTCAGTTCTAACCTTCTCTATCCACGGTATCCTCATCATTCACCTGTAACACCACATTTCGAAAGTTTCCAACCTTTTCCTTTCCGCCGCGCCCACTGTCCATGTTTCGCACCCGTACAACGCCGCGCTTCCAACATACACCTTTAACAACCTTCTTATGACTTCTTTTTATTAAAGGCGACACGACCCTGCGCTATCCTCTGCTTTATATCCCTACTACTCCTTCCGTCCCCTGACTTATCTGACTTCCTAGATATCTAAAATCAGCCACTTCTTTTAATTTTTCGTCTCCTATCTTTATATTCGCTCTTTCCCTACTTTTTCTTCCCTTGCATACCAGTATTTTTGTTTCACTTTTATTTATTTTCATACAATACTGTTTTGTCAATTTTATTTAAAGCTAACTCTAACTCCTCCTTGCTGACAATTAGTAAAATATAAAAGACATAGATAAAATCTTCGATTAAGTTATATGTAACTGGACCCTAGTTATATAAAATCCTTAAAACGATATTATTTGTTTGTTTGTAGGGGTGGTGTAGCACTGTGTTTGTCAGCCGGTGGTAGAAGAAACGGCGAAGCTTTGATACGTTTCGTAAGTCAGGAGCATCGGGATATAGCTCTTCAGAGGCATAAACACCACATCGGAACAAGGTACATCGAATTGTATCGTGCTACTGCAGAAGATTTTCTTTCGGTGGCAGGAGGTTCAAATATGGAAGCGCAAGCTTTTCTATCACGGGGTGCCGCTGTTATTGTGCGCATGCGCGGTTTACCTTACGACTGTACTAAGGAGCAAGTGGTAAGTTTTATTTGAACTGGTAGTAATATCTTTTAAGTTTTTATTTCGATTAGTAATATATCAAAGAAGAAAAATCACTATGCAAATGTTTCCTTCGAGATGGGCCATTTGATCGTGGTATTATTACAAAAATGAAAATAAGGGATGCCCCTGTGTAGTGTCTCTATGGGGCGTTTGTCAGGCCCGACTAATGCAAGCTTGCTGAATACACATTTCATATTCATTATAACATAATTTCAATATTTCTCACTAACAAACTATGATTTTTTATTTTATTAATTACAACCTTTAGACCATTGGAAAAATTCATTCATATTATAATTATATAAAACGTACAATTAGAATATTACAATTAAAAAATTATTTTGTAATTGTAACTATAAATTTACGGTTTTCGAATTTTCCCCTTTACAAATCTATCTATTATACGCAGAATATTATAACAATTTATTGTATTGAAAATGCATCAAATAGGAAAGAGTATAAATAATAGATGAATTCGTTGGTTGTTATTTCTTTTAAAATCCTAAACGTAAACTTCAAAAACAGTCAGAAGAAAAGCTCAAATACTAGCAGAACTGCACTTACTCACTTTAACGTTAACATTTATTTTTTGATGTATATAAATAAATATAAGTTTGCTTTATAATTTAAAAAACGGATCGGTTTTAACGTCATTATCGTGTGACTTATGAGGCACTTAAGAAGATTAGAAAACTGTAACGCGAACGCTATCTGTAGACATTTTTAAAAAATTGTTCGTAATTGTTATAACGGCTTGTATTATGTTTAAATTGCGAGGATAAGACAAAAAAAAAGTAGGTCGTAACTTGCAACATACATCAGCTATTTTAATGACTATAAATTTTATGTTCATTGTGGACAAAAAATAGTAATGTAACTATGTTTATAGTTTATTTATGACTGTATATTCGGAGGTATTAATATATATGCCTTTGACTAAAATTATTACAAAAGATTAAGAACGATATCGATTATCGTGGTTATACTAATAATTTATCGATATTTTTTAGATTAGAAACGTAAAATTATCGATTTCCTGATGATTGACCCTATCCATAGAATATGCAAATACCCTTATATTTATACACACATAAGAGTATATTATACCTATATAAGAAGTTCATCCGTACCAGTGGACGTCATGCATGAAGAAGGGTACACCTCAAAGTCAGAAGGTCATTGTCATGTTCGCATAAGACCATTTTTGCTTAACATGTTTACATAATAAGTTGTCCCCAAAATAGAAAAGTTGACGGTTATGTTATAACATAACTACATCGTCTTTCAGATGTATATTGTACAATCAAGTATTTATTCTAATTCAAATTGAAATTTCTAATCTTTTTAGGCGGATAGACAAGACACATTTTTTTAATATCAAAAAAAGTATATGATACCTACATAAAAGTTATTATCAGTGAAGGAAACCACGCAGTGATATTTCAGCTTAAAAAAGGTTAATCTGTAATCAAACAAGTTTGGAAATTAGTGTTTAAATAATAATAATTTATTTGCAATAATAATGCGTACTAGATGTATTGCATAACTGTATCAATGTAACAATGTTTACATAGATAACATAGTGTATATATACTAAATTAATGTAAAAACGAATAATTGGAAAACGAAAATTCAGCAAATTTGTAATTCAGCTCTTAAATTATGAAGAGCGGTAATAACAATTGAAAAAGTTTAACTTATTTTACATATTTTCGGGAACGATTTCAGATTTCAAAAATAAAATTGATTTCCAAGTTAAATATGTAAAATATTTTATTGGCAACAATCATCACTTCACTACAATAGCTAACAGTAGCTTCTTCAGGTGGAAGAAATACTGACAATAAGTGGTTAATAAAATATTTTGTAACTTATTTGACTTTTAAAATTGGGTTGCAGGGGTTCAGTGCTTCAGATGTTATTGGCCTGATTTTAAATACTTATATAAACCTAAGAAGGCATTAATTTTGATTTTAAAACTATGTACATGAAATGGAAAAGATACCGAATGTTATTTAAACGACACAAGAAAAATACGATTATGAATCGCATATTTTTTAGAAAACTCAACACCTTTCACTGTAATAAAATCATTTAAACGTGATGATCAATGTCATTTATAAGTATTTTTACTGTTTAATTTTCTTAAGTGTTATCTAAATAGGTAATTTACTATTTTTTTTAAATATTAAGGTATATTGCTGTAGCGAATTTACCTATCAAGAAAAAGTTATCTTNGGTTATGGAGATGGCATTAATAGACTGGAACACCGCTATGAGAAATGTATCAGCCTTGGAGGAGATTATGTTGAGAAATAAAAAAAAAAAATTTTTAAAAACCTTGTTTTTCTTGGTCAGGCCGGAAACTTATCAATCCACCCTCGTAATATAAAGTTAATATTCATTTTATTTCTTTCGCGAAAAAGGTTAATATGGGTAAATATCTGCTAACGATTTGAAATATGATATTAAACTTTACTACATCAGCACCTAAACTTCAAATTTTGATAAATCATGTTCTTTTCGTCAAATTCGTGCTAGTGCGTTTACAAAATAATTGGTGTATTTTTGGTCATTATTTAGACTTCTTGAAAAGTTTCCGGAAATTTTTCTGTTACCATAGAAACTTATCAGAATTCAGAAGACTATTACGTATAAGTATAAAGGGAGTTTTGTGTATACAAGAGGTAAAATGGAATAATAAATTGTTGTTATCTCTTATAAAATCCGTAAAAATTGCAAAAATAGGATGTGTAAAAATTTGATTTGTCTATTCATATGATATATATATAAAATCAGGCAAAAATAAGTGGCTGGATTTGAAAGTCATTCCCAATGTATTGTATAGAATTTGAGCGTATATTTTTTCGATTACTTCAAAATTGAATTGAATTATAATCTTTTAGTTAGTTTGCCCTATTTGTTTTTCTTTTTTTCGGAAAATTTTTGCCTTTCAGGCCACCGTGGCTGACGACTAAAAAAGACTTTCTAAGAGCGTATTTGGTATTATAAGAAGAAAATTATTTACGTATGACCTTCTGTTGCTGACCATATCGGGGTTGATTTCATAGTTCTTTATAGGAAATTATCCAACTGTAAATTAAAGAAATGCGCTAGTTTTATAGCAGCTTCTTCAGTAGATTTTTTTACTAATACGAGGGTGGATTGATAAGTTTCCGGCCTGACCAAGAAAAACAAGGTTTTTAAAAATTTTTTTTTTTTATTTCTCAACATAATCTCCAAGGCTGATACATTTCTCATAGCGGTGTTCCAGTCTATTAATGCCATCTCTATAGACTGATTCGTCAAGCTCCTCAAAATAACCATTTACAGCTTCGATTACTTCTTCATTGTCCGCAAATCTCTTACCGCCAAGCCATTTTTTGAGATTAGGGAACAGAAAATAGTCACTCGGGGCTAGGTCTGGAGAGTAAGGAGGGTGCGGCATCAATTCAAACTTTAGATCGTTGATTTTAGCCGTCGCAACGATTGACGTGTGCGCTGGTGCGTTATCGTGATGAAACAAGATTTTTTTGTTCGCCAGATGAGGTCGTTTAATTTTCACCTCGTGGCTCAAACGTTGCAATAAGTCTGCGTAGTATTGACCAGTGATAGTATTACCCTTTGCAAGGTAATCAATGTATATAATACCTCTTGCATCCCAAAAAACAGTAGCCATAACCTTGTTCGCCGAAAAAATTGTTTTTGCCTTCTTTGGAGTTGGTTCCCCTGGTCCAATCCACTGTTTAGACTGTTCTTTGGTTTCAGGAGTGTAGTGGTGGACCCACGTTTCGTCAACGGTTACGAATCGACGCAAAAATTCGCTTGGATTACGCTTATACAATGACAAATTTGCGGTAGAAATGTTTTTTCGAATCAATTTTTGGTCGACTGTTAGCAAACGCGGCACCCATCTTGCACAGAGCTTTTCCATATGCAAATGTTGGTGCAAAATATGTTGCACACGTTCATATGACATCTTACAGGTCTCAGCTATCTCACGCACTTTCAATCTGCGGTCTCCCAGCACTATTTGATGAATTTTTTCGATCATATCTGGAGTTGTGACCTCAACGGGGCGTCCTGAGCGAGGCCCATCAGAGGTGCTCACACGACCCTTTTTAAACTCGGAAACCCACTGCTTAACGGTTGAATATGACGGGGAGGATGTCCCCAGTGTTGAGTCCATCTCTTTTTTAATTTCCTTCGGCGTTAACCCCTTCAAATAAAAGTATTTGATGACAGCACGATTTTCCTGCTTTTCCATTTTTACGAAAACCACAGAGGCGTCTTGTTCAGCGTGCTGTCAAACCTACACTAGCAAGGAGATCGGGCTGAAACTATAGCTACAAGCTATCCAAGGATGGTACTATAGAATGTCACCTCAAGGTAGGCCTCTTGGCGTCATCTCTTGGTTAGGCCGGAAACTTATCAATCCACCCTCGTATAGTCAATAGTATAACATTTACAGCTTCATGTCTATCTCTAGAAAGTTCATCCAGTTTTCTATTAATTATAATTGTGTATGATCTGTTAAACAGAAAGTCTTCTATTTTTGTATTTTAATATCTAATTTTTTTCAGCTGGAATTTTTCGCTAAAGGTCCACAGTCGTGTTCTGTTTTGGATGGAAAAGAGGGTGTGCTGTTTGTAAAAAAATACGACGGTCGCTCTACGGGCGATGCTTTCGTCTTATTTTCCCAGGAATCCGACGCACCCAAAGCTCTCTCCAAACATAGGGAGTGCATCGGCTCTAGATACATCGAGTTGTTCCGATCGACGACCGCTGAAGTACAACAGGTATCTAAACGCTTATTACTTTCCCTTCTCTTCCCTTGACGCTCTCTTTTCTAACAACACTTCAATAAGTAAAATGTTGCGAGTAGATACGTAGGTATGTCTACAGGCTTCGATGGATTGATTTGCTGAAATTCACACGAAATTAAGCTTTACGAACAGTCACGTCGAATTTGTCAGGATTTTATGATGGTTTAATAAAACATTTAGTCAATTTTATTGGAATTTAAAAGTCACAACTTTTTCAATTAAATATTTTTAAATGTACTGGACTGAACTACAAAGCAGTGTACAATGTAATTATATTTATATTTCGTAGTATAACTTGGTGTCTTGTAGAAATTTTAATATCTTTTTATAAAATTGTGGGTAGCCCAGGAACCGATATTGGAAAACTATGTTTTCCAGTTTAAGCACTCAGTCCTGGGCGAGTATATGGAAAAACTATTTCAATACGTCCTCTCAGGTTAAGAAACTCAGTTAGCATTTCTGAAAGGTAAATACCTACAAAAGCTGTTTCAATATGTCTTAGAAGGTAACGTATTGCAGTATGATTTTTAAGTTAATACGCATTTGAAGATATATTAGGAAAGTAGGAACCCTCATCCTATATGTCAAGCTCGAGTGACCCAACGAGAGCCATCGTCCGTGTTCTTTTCCTACCGCAACTAAGATCCTAAGCAATGAAACAAAAGAATTTTCGCTTAAAGTTTGTTTAGGTTAGGCCAGATCTTTAGCAAAAGAATGCTTTTTTTGTTGACAGGAGTATGGACCTATTGGATAGTTGGTGAGCAATGTTGCTTAGTAGTTGATTGATTTGTGCAGTGTTCTGCAAGACTTTCAGTGCACCCTATGTTTTCGGTATTTATTAATTCTTCTATTACTCCCTACATTGCGTAGGTTTCGTTGAGCACATTTTTGGTGATTTCTAATAATTTTGTCTTTCTTCTATTATTATTGCACTTCCAATTTCTTCCTGGGCTTTGGAATTATTAATGAAGATCTTTTTTAATTGTTTGTAATAAACACAACGTTCGTGCAATTCGACTTTAGCCTTTGATGTTATAACAAAGTCGTTTTTGGATACATATTGGGTTAGCTCTCAGAAAGAGTTTTAATATAGACCATACACTATTCCATGGTGAATTGGGAGTCCAAAGCTCGGTGTCTATTGGTACAGTTTATGGGATTAACAGCTAGTGAACTATTTCGAGATTTACTATTTCCTTTCGGTGGATCTCTTTATCCGAGACAAATAACGGTTTCAATCGAATTCTGCTCTTTTTGGTTGGAATGTTCACGGTTTCCAGGTAACGAATGGACGAAGCAGCTACCTGGTTCATTTAGCATTCCACAATTACCTACAAGTGTAGTGGATTGAATGATTGGCGTGCCTGTTGTTTTGATAGCTTACTTTTAAAACGAATTAACATGATTTTGAGATTAAATTTCGTGGACAAGCTTTCGTACGTGGAGTATTTTTCAAAATTGTTTTGTTTCGGACTTTCGGAGTCTCTTAAGTTTTCAGAAGGCCAGTTTCTTTCAATCATTAGTATTTTTGGTATCTCTCTGCAGAAGCAAGTTTATGTTCATAATCCTAAGAAAAGCTTCAGTTTTTGAAGTGAAGTTTGTGTGAAGATTGTGGTTCCTTATGATCGCGTTTTAGTATTTCAAAATTCCAAGAACCCGAATGTTTACCAGTAGATTGATTACTTACAATTAATAATCTGTTTAAACCGAGATTCAGTTGGAGGAGTTACAGAACAAAGGTTTCTCACCGCTCTTACGGTTAAAACGAAGCATAGAAGTTGACCAGAAAGGAAATCACTTAATTTATAATCGGAAACATTGCCTCTTATAATTATTATTTATTTGTAACTATAATATTACAATTTCCTGGATATATTGCAAAAAAGAGTTGAAGAAATGATTTTAAAATTCAATTCAATAATGGTCACAACAAAGAAAATAAGAAATAAATGTATGTAACATACATAATTAAAATGTGAAATACGTATCAGACATGTTTTTTTATTAATAACATTTTGTCGGTATCAGTTCAAACAACCAAGTAACGAGTTGTTGGCGCCACGGCGTTCGCGTATGTGCCCAATTCATTCATAAAATTTTGAGTGTTTCGAAAGAGTTTTGCGGAACATGTCGTTATTACATTGTCAGACACATTTCTCGAGAACTTGTCGGAAGTTTTTCGCGGTGCTTGTAAAGTGGCGTGCTAACTTCTGTTCTCAACTCATACTAATGTTGAGTGTTAGTTAAGTGGCGGAATATGTACAAAGTGTCTGCTATTTGAAGTTCAAATTAACACGAATATCGTCGGGCGTCACACGGTATTATCCGACCCAAATCAGACGGAGGTCGTTAGCCTGTACGTACATCCTTTGCAAAACGAGTACGAACAGGTGGATGGGCTCATTATTTACATACCGACTTGTATACGTACAAAGATACATGTGTATGCAGGCATATGAAAGATGTTCTTCAAGTTTGGTTACCTAATTTGCTGACTGTAAAGCCAAGGCTTTTATGGTCTTGACACGTGATTGGCGCAAGAAATACTTAATGAAACTGCCGTTTCAGCACAAAATCTGTGCGATGTGCAAGGCGATTATTAGAATGTCTAATTAAAGTACTTTTTGTTGCTAATATATTTTGTTATTTCCTGTAACATTTTGTGCATTGTGTAATTTATGAATGGAAAACGAAATAAAAATTTATTTATGTATCTTTAACAATTGCAATATTGAAAAACAATTTACAAATAGTACAAATAATAATTAAATGGTTAATCTCTGAAAAATATCCATTTAAATTGCGATCATGTAGGTTCTTATTATTGTATAATGGTCGGACTTCTTTCAAATTTGAACGCGGAAAATAATTTGCTTAATTTGTTTTCCCACCCAATGTATTACGTATTACGAGGGTGTAATGTTGAAAAATAACATAAATAATAAATACATTTTAAAATTGATCATTAAATCTTTGCTGTTATTCACTTGATTGTTAATGAAATGTCTAATTAAAGTTCTCCTAATGACATTCATTGTCTTTGACAGGCAACATGAATAATAAATGAACTAAAAAATTACTCGATTCACTTCTACTTCATGTAAATTGTAACAATAACTTTCCTAAGGGACACATTTATAAATAAAAATTTTGTGTTGTTACAGGTATTGAATCGGTCCCAACAGGAACCGATAGTGGTAGAACTTCCCGCTTCCCTTGTCAATCAATTACCACCGATACATTTACCCCAACATTTGATTACCTCTGGAACGAAAAAAGACTGCATTAGACTAAGAGGACTTCCTTACGAGGCTCAAGTCGAACAGATATTGGAATTTTTGGGTGATCATGCCAAAAATATCATGTTTCAAGGGGTCCATATGGTGTTCAATGCTCATGTACGTATTGAAATATTTTCTACATTTCGTAAAAGTTGCAATCATCTTTATTTTTCCGTCCTGTACACATTTATAATTCACTAACTTTTCCACAGAAATTAATATTGTTTCTTCATAAAACCTTTTAACTCCCAATTCACCCCTACAAACTTTTAATTTTATTTAATGTAGCCATCTTAGATTTCAAATACAAATGTAACAACAACATTTTATCCTTAAGGGTTGATTTTGAAAAATTGCCAAAACATGTGTTCGCTTAATTTCAACAATGAGTATTAAGAGCAACTTTCGAGTAAATCCAAGTAAATTCAACCACAAATAAAACATGTCCCAAACAAAATTTGCAACCTCCTTTTATCTTCCCCCTTTTCGAGGTTGAATTTTTTAAAATGCCGAGAAATCCCCAAAGTAAAATGATTCTTGATATCTTCTGGTCTTCCGTTTTTGCACTTTTTTAGAAAAATCGTTTTGCCTGTATGTTAAGTGTAACTTTAAAAAACTTCGTAGAAGAAGGGCCTTGATTCTCTGGTCTTCCCTAAATACGTACCTTTACTATAACCTGTAGAGGATTTTAATGAAGGTGTTTAAAAAACTTCAAAAATTTCTAATTCAGGGTCAACCAAGCGGCGAGGCATTTATTCAAATGGACTCGGAACAATCTGCTTACAACGCTGCTCAACAAAAACACCATCGATACATGATATTCGGAAAGAAACAGCGATACATTGAAGTGTTCCAGTGTTCCGGCGAAGACATGAATCTCGTGTTAGCGGGTGGCATCTCGGCCCCTGTGTCTCCAGCAAAAGCAGCCCCCGCCCTTCTCAGCCCTGGTATGTTACCTACCGCCCTGCCGCCCCTGCCACCATTACCACCTACTAATGTCCCCCCGCCACCGACACCTCAAACGTCGGTAGCTCAGGTAACTCAGAATGTTATGACCGCTCCCCATTTATCTTGGGAAAATCAAACTTTTTTAGCGCAACAACAGGCACAAATGATTGCCCATCAAAACCTGTTGGTGCGTCAAAGCCAGGCTCACGCGCAGGCTCAGGCGCAAGCCCAGGCTCAGAACGAAATGATACTTATGAATCAGTTGTACAACAACGGACTCGCGGTTTTTAATCAAAATATTTCGGCGGTAACGCAAGCTCCTGCGACAAGTGGTGCTATTTATCAAAATCAAGTTCTCAAATCGCCCGTTCCGATAATGCACCAAATCCTGCCTCAGCAGCAATTATTCCTTGCTCCTAGAGTGACGCCTTTGGGCATTCCACGACCTACCGTTGCATATCCTCATCTCATATCCACTCCTTCGCCTGGAGTCGTTCCTGTACTACCCCAAACCCCCACAACCGTTAAAAGAAAGAACTCGATTCTTGATCAGACGGTAACGGCTAAGAGACCGAGGTTTCAACCACCCACAGTGGTTCCCGTTTCTTACAATTACTATTATCCCAACGCATAAGTACGAAACATATTAATATGTATAATAACGCACACGAATAAGAAACAAAAATTATTTGAATTTCTAAGGCAGCAAAAAAACCTTAAATATATATGTTATATATATATTACAATTTTTTTAATTTTTTTATTTAGTTGTATGCTTTGCAAGGCAGCAGTTTTGTTTAGATTCTTGTTGTACCTGTTTATAATTAGCAGGCGATAATCCTCGTTCTTAATGAAATAATAGTTGTAGTTATTAACAAAAGTGTGTACAGAATCCACACGTTCAGATAAGTACTTTATATAGAATAAAATTGCGTGAGAAATTTCTACTCGCTTGTTATTTACTATGAATAGTATATACTACCCTAGTATACATTTTACTCACTAATTTAATGAAAAAATAAAAATAAAAAGCCAGGTACATCTATTTAAAATATAACGTGATTTTAAACATTCCATACTTACACTATATTTAGAAATTGAAGCTACATTTAGCTTTATGTACTTACAATAAATAATTATTAGTAATAAATTAAGTGCCTTAATCATAAGACTTTGATACAGAAGTAATTGTTGATATTATATTTTTCTATAAGTATACAATATATAAAATTATATAATAATTGCACAGATTTACTAAATATTTTTGACAATTACGCGATTGTTGAATTATTCCTGTTAAATTATGGGATAATGTTGCAAAGGAATTACCATGACATGATACTGTGGTCGACATTCTGAGATACCCGAACATTTTGATAGTGATAATACTAAGTTGGTGGTGGATCCCTACCCGTTGACACTAGTTCTTATACATTCCAAACACATTTACATAACACATTCCAAATGCATATATTTTTTGACATACTTGCCTTAAGGGTACAGTGTATTTTTGCCCTTTAAATACTTAAAAAGGATATACATATATATATATTGTACTTACTATAGATGTTTATAATGGACGTTGTTTTCGGAAGGCGTTTCACAGCCACTAAAACGGTTTTTTAATTTTATTTGTGTATTTGAGCTTTATTTGTAACAAGTGTTTGCAACTAATAACATAGTGGACTGGGTCTGACATTGTTGTGAAAGTATGGACTAGAGCACTGATATTACACCCCATTCAAAGACGAACTTTGCAATTTTTTTTGTTTTTATTTGTTTGCTTATAGACCTTACGGTGAACGTTGTCTTTGAATGGTAAAGTATCATTGACAATAATAAATCACGGAGTGGGTAAATATTATTTCATGCGTGAACAAGAAGTTTTAGATGACATTTGTACTACGATAGATTGTAATTTAATTTGTTACTCATATTGATTGGTGGATTCTTTTGTCTTTAGTTTTAGCATAAAAAGCTGACGTTTTTTTGGGAAAGGCAAGGTTGTGGTTGATACTTGAGAGGACGTGAAGTGTATTATCCGTTATTTTGATAACGTTTCGGTTGGTTTTGTTTTCGTTTTTTTTTCAACTTCACGTTTTCTTCCTGCGTTGTCAGGTAACCGAGCCTTATTATTAAGTACAAACTTTGAAACATGCGAGTGGTGAGGATTTGCTGTTGTATAAGAGCATGTTTCAAGTTTTCATATTTTGGTAGTAAGTTTATAAGCCTGTTGCATACCTTCTTTTGGCTTTCGCTAGATTTTGATGTCTTGGTGTTTCTAACTTTTGCTTTGATCGAATCCTATTTTTTTTTCTAACATCTGGTTTTCATATTTCGTTATTCACTTAGCAGAAGCAACGTATTTTTTCCATCGTCTTTCGTCTATTTCCTCTTCCTTTTCTTTTGCCCTTTGACGTTGGCACTTTCCGGTATGTATTTTTCGCACTCGCAAAAGAACAATTTCAAAAGGCAGAAGACAGGAAAACAATTGTTTCGAGAATCCCTAAATTCTTCCCGAGTTATTTCCGTTATTACTTTAATTATTGCTTCTTATTAATTACTTTTTTCCAATTCACTATTATATGATCTGCACGTTTAGGGACAGGTTTGCTTTTGTATATATTTGTTGTTAGTAACAAACTTTTTGATTAGGTATTCAAAAGAGGTAAGTAAAATTGTAATTAAATTTAGATAATCAGACCTGTAAGTTGTAAAAAAAAAACAAGAAGCGCTTAGGTTTCTGTGACTAACCGATCTTCTTTATTTCTTGTAACAGTATTTTTTTAACAAACCATCATTTCTTTGAACCTAATCTAGATGATCTTATTACTTACTCTTCTCTATACGGAATATAATTAAAAGAAAATCAAAACTGCGTTTCTTCCGCTAAGTTTTGTTCATAGTACCACATTATCTAACTGCGGCATTACTGAGTTGCTTAAATCTGTTTAATTTTATAAATTGTAAAAATCGAGTCCGCCCGTTATGTCACTAATTTCATTCATGGTATTGTGCATGGGGAGTTTAAAAAAATACACACACTTTGGCATCGCATTCTAGCGAAAGTTCAATAATCTCAAATATTCACTTTGATATTCTATTTGTTTCTGAAACTGTACGCAGCTCTTTACTTCATGATATATTTCTAATAAAATTTACACTTAATTAATAAATGTTTTTGTCACAATAATGCTTTTGGGTTTAATGTTAGATTTCCTTTGCTAATCTATGCTTCCCCGTATTACACCAAATTATTTTCATTGCCAGTTTAAGTAAAACTTTTTTTATTTTATTCATGAAGTTATTGTCCAGGCAATAGAAGGTGACCTTTCTTTAAGGAATGACTTTGGGATACTCCTAGAGGATACACCCAAAATGGTGTCATAATTTTAGTTACTCAATGATCCCTGCATAAAAGTGTACTTAAGTTTTTGAAAAAAATTAATTTGCAATTCTTTTTATTTAAAACTTTTTCTCTCAAATTAATGCTTTAGGTGTTTTAGTGCGTTTTCGAAATACTGTACACAACTTTGACGTTCTATACCTCCTAAACTTTTAATTTCAAAGAAATATTTTTTACATAAAAATTATTGTATTAAAAAACTTTTTGCACATTTGTATACTTCGTTCATAACATTTACGATGATATGTTGAAGATACACTCTTAAAGCATCCCTTAAAGAAAAAATGTACCTGATCTAATACAGATGTTTTTAATCAAGTTAATTGTCAAATTAAAAGTTCATTTTCATCTGAAGTTTTAAATCGAAGTCAATAGTTGAAAACGTCAATAAAAATTTGTTATATACGTGGGAAGCACAGAAAGTTAATGGGCTAGATTTGTTGGTTGCCCGGGATACGGAGTCGTATACATATGGTGTTGTCTGCTGCCGCCAATAGGTGGATCGGTAACACACTCTGCTACACTGTGGTGAGTCTATTTATTACTTTTACCGTCCTTGAAAATAACACATGTTTCTTGTTACAATAGATAGTAGACATTATAATAAAGATCACGAGCATGGAGTCTAGAAGAAGGAGAAACATCTTTATACACTTTTAGAAAATGCAAAACGTTAGTACGTAGAACCTTTTTCTGTCACATGGTGCGGAGATGTTTAGAATCAATTATTCGTGAAAAATCGAAAGTTAAGAGACTTGAATTTGTATCTTACTACGTAGCTACATCAAATGTTAGTGGTATTTAGGTTAAAGATAAACATTCAAATGTAATGTACAAAAATACGTATTTTCCGCGACTTTGGCCGCATTTCTGGTGAAATAAAAATGAAACATACCCTATATTCGAAAATACCACAAATGGCGTGGTGAGCGCCATCTGTAGTACGATGCTACATTTGAGGATTACGTATGCTCCAACAAGGTCCATTTAAAAATATGGATATCAACTTGCTGAAACTAATCCCGGCGTAGCTCACCTCAACGTGACAGGCACGTTACCATAATCGAACAAAATAATTGTGGTATTTTCGAAAACGCGCTGTTAAGACAGCAGGTAAAGGTTGGTCTGTGTTCTTCGGAGCTCCCTGCGACGCGCTGATGAGATCCAAAAAGATCGAAATCGCGATCCGTGTCTGGCAGTTTCGACAGAATACAGACCACTTCGAATTATTTTGTTCGATTATGGTAACGTGCCTATCACGTTGAGGTGAGCTACGCTGGGATTAGTTTCAGCAAGTAGATATCCATATTTTTAAATGGACCTTGTTGGAGCATACGTAATCCTCAAATGTAGCATCGTACTACAGATGGCGCTCACCGCGCCATTTGTGGTATTTTCTAAAACGCGCTGTTAAGACAGCAGGTAAAGGTTGGTCTGTGTTCTTCGGAGCTCCCTGCGACGCGCTGATGAGATCCAAAGAGATCGAAATCGCGATCCGTGTCTGGCAGTTTCGACAGAATACAGACCACTTCGAATTATTTTGTTCAATACCCTATATTACTAAGAAATACTGTAGCATTCCATTAGTCCAAGAATTTTTAAAACCGATTGTCCTTAATGTTTTAAATATTGTGACCAAAAGTTCACCTGAATGATGCATCTCCTTCTTCTACACTCTATGATCACGAGCAGGCTTTTGATATTTTTTATATGTGGCCGCCATTACGGTGTGCCATTTTCGGTTGAGGATTCATATATCACTATAGTTTCAAACACATCATAGCATGACTAGTTCCGTCTTTATAAAAGGGTCTGTAACGTGTATTGCTTTGGACAAAAAGTTATTTTATTTGTACACATGTAGTTGTCACCTAAAAATGTAAATTTGCTACAGGTCAATGTCATACGAGAATCGAAAAAGATACTGGATGAATGTTATAGAAACCTTTTAATACCCTTTCGAAAGGTTCTATTAACTTTTAATAATATTTTTGCTTATTGACTGTTTCAATAAAAAGGGAATTGCTTAATTAATACGATTGTAAGAAAACCTATTAGCTCTTTGTATACAAATTCTTAAGAAGTTAGTATTTTTACTGTCATAGGTGGTGGAAACATAATCCCTACAGTGTTTCCCCCTGGGACCACCTTTCCTGGATTTGCGCAATTACAGCTAACACCGTCAGGTCCTACAATAGCGCCAAGGCAGATCTATCCGCCACCACCACCGTCTATACTGTATTGGTCTTATCCTAGTCCTCCAGTATCTCCAACGAATTATTTTGGACCTACAATGCCACCACCTGGAGCGTTACCACCTCAACAACATCAGCAAGCAGTGGTATGGTTATTTTGTAAAGTAATCCCGAATTATTTAAAATAGAACAATAACTTTGGGATTGTATTTGTAATAATAATAATAATAATTGTAATACGGATTTGAAATCCCAAACACTGTGAAAGTAGTAACTGCTCCTTTATTTTGGAGTAAAATTTGTTTACGTAGACCGATAGACAAATAAAAATACCGACCGATAGACAAAAGGGCATAAAGACGAATGAAAACATTTCCAATTTGTTCTTAATTTGTTTTAAAATGTCATTGTTTTCTATAATATAATATACCGTATGCGAAAGAGTGGACCTTGGTATAGGAAATTTCAAAGTCTATATGCCAATTGCCGCTTCGTAGATGCTTCGGTGTATGCGCCCAAACACTGAATACTACAGTGAAAGTAGTAACTGTTCGTCTGTTTTGAAGTAAAATTTGTTTACATAGACCGATAGACAAATAGAAATACCGACCGATAGACAGAAGGACATAAAGACGAACGAAAACATTACCAATTTGTTCTTAATTTGTTTTAAAATGTCATTGTCTTCTATAATATTATATACCGTATGCGAAAGAGTGGACCTTGGTATAGTAAATTTCAAAGTGCCGCTTCGTAGAAATACGTACTCGTACAACTTCGAAGAGCTGGTAGGTGTATGCGCGTCGTCTTCTATGCTATTGACGAGAGCAGCATGTTACAACTGAATATAAGATCCGCACTTTCGCACACTGTATATGTAGATTTGGATAACAATCTGTTTTTTTCCGAAACTTTGTAATAAGTACAGTTTCTTTTGACAATTTATAGTTCCTACCGGATTGTGTCCCCTTAGCACCATTTGGTGCCCCAGTTGCAGCACCTGATGTAAGGTTGACATCTGATCCAAGATCGGAAGATAAAGCTAATACCAACGGCTTTGGTCTCGGCCAGTTTGTCGAACTCACCGGGTGAATCCAAGCTTAGCTGAGTTAACAATTAGGTAACGGATTTTATCGAAATCCTTTGCAAGATTCTTTTTCATTCTAATTAATGATGTTGTCAAAATAAGCACCGCTACTTACAGTAGACCTATTTCATAGAAAAAATCCAAATACATTTTATTATTGTTAAGGAGAAAATATAAAATAATATATAACTTATCTATTAAAAACGTATAGTTCCAATTATTATTATTTATGTAATATTTAATATATTGCGAAAAGATATTCTATTCGGAGGATATGTATTATAGAAAAATATATGCATGTATATTTTAAACAAATTATATCGTACCGATATATAAAAATTAAATACTTTAGTAAATAATGCTACCTATTATATCTACACATATACTTATCAAAGAAAGTGCTCTGTTGGCGGAATTTTCGTTAAAATTTTAACCATATGACAAAAGTACTCATAATATGTACGGACTTTTTGTAAACCTTGTGAATTGACTGAAATTCGGAAATTTTAATAACAATAAAACTCTTTGTAGATCGTATTCGACATATAACAAAGCATTTTCTACTACATAA